GACTGTACTTCTGCAAAGCGGCTACAGATTATGAAAAAACAAAACAAATAATGGCGCCGTATACAAAGAAAAGCCTTGTTGGTCACATACTTCGTCAGTGCTCAAAAAAATCAGCTAAACCACGAACTAAGAAAAACCACTGAAATTAAAAATTGACGTTTCATTGGACAATTTTCAAGGGTAAAAAGTGCCTGTAATAACATCAAAAATAAGCTCTGGCTTGAAATCATTCAAAGTCTTGTATAAAAGACAGATCTGGAAACCTAACTTCAACGACTTCAGCTGCTTAGGTTTACGTTTAACACTTACGCAGAGTACTTTGTAATCGTAAGATACTATCTTTGCAAAGGAAAATTTTCCTCAGCACAGTCGATTCGTTACATTATAACAGTGAAATACAAGCTGAAACGAAGTAAAGAAGGATGCAGGACAACAAACAATTTCACTCTTAACAAAAACTAAGTTTCATCTAGCAGCAAATTTCAATGAAGTGATTGAAACAAAACTAACTTTTATAGTTTGCTTTCGTGAATACTGTTCTACAACGAAGAAGCAAAGAAAAGCATCAAACTGCACAATTCACAAATGCGCATATGCCACCAAGGCAAGAAATCCAGAGACTGCATATAAATGCAGACGGATAGCCGGCTGCAATCATGAAAGGCCAAATAATACATTAAAGCGAATCCTTGTGAAACAATCGTTACCCTTATCCTACAAGAACCCCAACTGAAACAAGCAGTAATATTCTTAGTGCAAAAAATCTAAGCGCAAGCGGCGCAGCAACTGTAGATCAGAATCAAATCGCTAATAACAAAAGATCATGCAAAAGTCCGATCGCCATGCGTGATCGTGTTTTTATGACACTACATTGCGACCGACACCAATTTAAAAAAGCCGAAAAGTAAACACGAGTGCATCAACACATTCACATGCAGCCTAAGATGCAATCATAACTTCAAACAAACTCTCAGCAGTAGTTATGACAGTAGTTACAATTATAAAGCGAAACCTTCATGCGTCTGAAGTCCATCCCCCTGGTTAAATCCGCTTGAATCACGTGATGAACGGCTGCCTCCGCGATATCCATAACGCCCTGAAATACACTTGCGACTAGAAACAAAACTCACACGAAGCATCGTTTCAGTTTGATGTTAGTAAAGCCAAAACGGCATGCTACAATGGCATTAGCAGAAAAGGCTCAGATGCTAAATGCTAGGGCACGATAGCCGTCTAAGGTACTTCGATTAGCAAAGAAGCTCCACTGAAGAGCAAATAATGCAGAAAATCGATCAAATTACCTACGGTCTGATTTTACCTTTATTCCTTTTAGACTGTATTTGTCACCATGGATTTTCCACAAGTGAAACTTTAAACAAGTAACGCCTGATATATATGAACAATTTACCTCCACCACCTCTGCTATAGCGCCCGCCAGGTGCCGTTCCTCCTCGATTTCGTCCACGATAGCCACCTCCACGGCCTCTAGAGCCACCAGAAGTTTCTACATCCGAGTTATAGCCTCTGAAACCAGACGATAATATTGACCTTTCCATA